TTTCATTCATGTGGGGGAGTGTTGGAAAAATTGAGGTAGGAGGGGACTTTGGCACGAATTTTGAGAGGGACCCGTTTGGTTATTTTTGAAGATGAAAGTTGATTTGTGTTCTCCTCCATGAGTACATCGAAATCATATACTTACTTGTCAAAAATGATGCTCGAATAAATGAGAAATTGAAACTCAAAGTATGGCATGTGAAAAAAATTTATATTGGTTTGAAAACTAAAAATTAAGTTTTTCCCACATAGGAAGTGGATGAAAACTAAAACCAATTTATAAAGGATTGTACTTTAGAATGACGTAATCACGTGCCCGCGCAGGGGGTGCAAATCACGGACCGAAATAGGCATCGGACCTTGAACTTGTGTGGGGACGCGACCTGCGTACACGAATGTCGGACTGGATTGACCAAAAATTGGCCCCTTAGAAGAGCATATGTTTTGCTACATTTTATTTTATTTTTCGACTGACTTTTCATTTTTTGAAATAGTTGAAACTCCTAAAACTCCTGTTGTAATTACCGAGAAGTAAGTTGGCAAGTTACAAGATCCAAAGTCTATATACCTCGATTTTTCTCAATTTTCAGTACAACAATTCATCTGAATATTCATCTGCATGCAATTCTAGTTTTGTCTCTATTTTCGTTTTTGTTTGAGTCTGGTGGTGATATTGTTCGGGTTCTAACTCAGTTCGCCGGAGTAGCTTCTGTGGTGCTCAGACTCTACTGGTCTTCCATTGTATCTTAGGAAGCAGACGCTCAAATTACACCTCAAGCACGTACGGTAAGGGGGCGAATCTGTTTTAAGGAAATTGTGTGTAACACAGTTCTCGGATTAAAAGTTCAATTTCGTATTTTATATTTTTTCTGTTTTGTTGTAATTCTATTTCTGAACCCAATAATTCAGATTTACAAATTCGGTGTTACTCTGGTATTAGTTCACTGGTTATCATATTTTCCTACATGACTTTGTTCTCTATACATGGAACGGAAGCCAAATATTTATTCAGAAAAACCTTGAATCTTCATCTTGATGCAATGAAAAGATAATTTACTAATTGATGAATTTGTCCATTTAGCATTGGATCGATACGGACTCCGTACAAAACAAAGATTGTTAGTCCATGTTTTGTTAAATTAAATGTAGGATCTTGAGTGTTTATTCACTATAATGTTGGCTTGTCCTGATGATCGTTGTTTCTGTTAAAAAATTCTGTTGAGATTGAATAAAAGCACTTATTTCCTCTCATATAAATAAATTAACTAAAAAAAAATGATATAAGATTAAGACAAAATATTTATCCCCCGTTCAGGGGCGGAGGGAGGGGGGTCCTGGGGAGACCCGAACCCCTCTCCCCTTGAGTGTTTATTCACTATAATGTTGGCTTTTATAAGTGAAATTTTGATTGCAGGTAGAGTTTGAT